TGGTTTTGGTTTTGCCCGGGACCGAAAAATCTCTTTCGACCTGGCCAAGCCCGATTTTGGATGGTTGGCGGGACGGGGACGTGGACGGGGACAGGTAGAGAGGGGGGATAATAAATTTGAATTTCAATAAATTATTTTGTTGCCACAAGACAGCCAGCAGAAGACCCTCTTTTCCACTTCATTGTGCCCCTGCTCCTCCGTTCCCTTCTGAATGGTCAACAGTTCGATCTTGCGTGAATTTCATTCAACAAAAATTTTCTGTTTAGCAATTTCTTTTTGGCTTTGTCGTCTCCGCTTCATTTTTATTTATTTAATTTTTTATTTGTCATTTTTTGCCCACCATTGTTGGCCAAGGCTGTCGGCGATTGATGGCGGGAGCAGAGGGGTTACCCATGTACTATACATACATACCGAGATTCAAGACTCAAGATCCCAGATCCACCGTAGTTATGGTCTGATGAAGTGATCGGGCCTTGACATTGATCAAATGCCAAGAGCACAACACAGTTGCTGTGGGCGTAGGAAACACATTACGACTTGTCGAGACTGAAACATGAAGAGGTATTTAGGAAATGGGTGAAAAATGGCTCTCCAAAATGAGATTTTCAAGAGAAAATATAACTGAAAAACTTATAAATTGGTCAGAATATGGGGATCTATCAATCCAATGCCTTACAGGCAAAAACCTTGTCTTTAAATAAGATATATTATAAAGTATTCTATCCTGCAAGTAAAAATACTTGGCTTTACTTCTTATTTTGGAATAGTATATATAGGTAATCAAAATGAACTTGTTCTGAAAAACTTTTTATGAAATGTTATCATTCCGTTTCGTACATTTCTTTATCCACTTAAAACAACATTGTATTTCTTCCCAACTCTAGCATTTGTACACCAAATACTAAATGAGCACCACCAAAAATCTGGCAGTAGCCATCTGCTTTATTAGCAGCTCTTAAAATGAATAATTTATTCATTTTATACATTTGTTATAGGTTTGTTAGCTTCATGAATAATTACAAATCCGAATAATCAAATTAATATTGGGTTAATGAATGAATCGCCAGTCCGATCTGCGTTATCTGACCGAAGAGATCAACTGTTCGGCCAAAGCTACTGAATTGGATTTCCGACTTGGAAGAGACGATGATCCTCAATCAGCCGAAGATCATTTAGTGCCACAGCTTGGGATCTGCTTAGGCCCCCGACTTTATGTCGCTGCATAGCCATATATAAGGCACACAAGTGCCGGACACCTGAGGAGCGGCATAATCCGGCAGCGGCATTAATTCATGGAAATTCCGTCAAAAGAAATTTTGAGCCCCCCTCCCCCGAAAAACACTCCTCCATTTCACTCACTCGCACACATGGTAACCAGTTTTAAGTTTCTTCTTCTATATTTTTTTACTACTTTTTTCTTTTTGGCAACGGCGTCAAGTCAACTGACAAAGCTAACAAACAACCTTCGTCATTAGCCAAACTATGGCATGTCAACGAAAATTAGCATTTTTTACAGCGGGAGGCCGGCAGCAACAAAAATGTCTGTGAGTACAAGTACACTTTGAAAAATAATATGTTCTAGTCTGGAGTAAAAGAAGCTTAAATACTTAAATAAGCATAGCTGGTTTAAGGTTCAACACTGTCAGCATATTTCCAAGTTTTAGCAAACAATCTAAGAATATTTCAGTTGTTTTAAAGATTCAAAATCAACAGAGTATGGCTGCAGTTTTGGTCTACATATTTTCTCTAAGTGTACGAGAAGTATGTAGGGGGCCTAGAGAACCCGATTTACACATGGATCTTAGCGCTGTGAGATGTGGGATGTGAGCTGTTCGAGCATCAGATGCGTAGGTAAAAAGCCGACTTCAGTCCGCTTGATGAACTATATCCACTTTATACACATTTTCATGTTGTTGTTGTCGCATTTGTGCCGCTCGGTCGACCGTCGCTGCCTCTGCCGACGTCGAAGTCGACGTCTCTGCCGCTGCCGCTGCCTACGCATCTTTTGCAATTTCGTTTGAGCCGCCCACGCATTTGAGTTTGCTTAGAAATAAACGGCAAAGCAGCCTACAAATTCAAATTAAAGTTGTATTCGCATTATTCGCTATATTTTGTGACTGCACAGTAAAAAATAATGATAAATAAAGTCTTTTTGTTAAATGTTGAATACTATTTTGTATTTCATTGATTTTATTTATAACAAATTTAAAATAAATCCTATATGTTTTTACTGTAGCTTAGAATATATGTCAAAGAAAAAGAAACTGTTAAAAGACAAACTCTTTATTTTTTAATTAAGTTTATTAAAGCTTTAAAGTAAATAGAGATTGTGGATACAATTTAAGGCTACTAAAAATTATGCCCAATTTTTGTAATATCACCTTTTCCTGCTTTATTTTGATCCTCATCCTATCTGCATTATCTTTCTTAGTGTATATGACAGTCGAAATCGGCTCGTGGGCTTTATGGCCATAGATATATAATACAGTTTAGAGCCAGCCCGCCCGAGTGTCTGCCACATTTGCCACAGCTCCCAGCCGGTATCCAAGTATCCGAGTATCTGGCTAACTGGCTATCTGACTATCCATCTAAGCCAGCCTATCTCCGCGTATCTGTATCTGGAGCTGTGTTTTCATCTCTATTTGTATCTGTATCTCTATCTATCCGACCATCGGTTAAACCTCTAAAGTGCCATAGATTATTATAACACACGCGCTATTCGACTGTGCTGCGGTTAGCCGCAAAACTCAAAACCGAAACAGACACTCCAAGCCAAAGGCCCCACACGAGCTATAAGCTATATGGCTATATGCACCGCCCATCCCCGCCCCCTTCCCCTTTTCTGCATTATGCATAGCCAAATTGGGGACAAGGGAGAATGGGAGGAGGGGGGAGGATGATGGATCCACCCATTGGGTGGGGGAACACTAGCGCGAATTAAAGAAAAAGGCTGTCAACAAAGCAACGGTAAAGAAAATGAATGAGAGGAAAGCCCACAACGGAAATGGCAATGTAAAAATAAGTTATGGTAGGTGGATGTGGTAAATAATATTACCAGGGGAGGGGAGGGGGGGGACAGACAGGCGGCGGGGAAAACACACCTAAAATAGTTCTATTACCAACTTTGCACTCATCCATCTGCATAAGTGTATGGTGGATTACAATGTCTCTCTCAAAAAAGAAAAAAAATCAACAAATATATCCAACTACCATAAGAAAATTATTTAATGATGTTAAATGTTCCATCGTTCAGCAGCAAAAACGAATGTTAGTAAATTGAAATAAGTAATTTTTATTAAATCTTCAATTATGCCTTTTAATAAACAAAATGAAAGGCAATGAACTATAGTTATGGTTAGATGCCCTACTTTTAAGAAATATTTTTCTATTTTTTAGAAAAGCTTTTCTTGTTTTTAGGGCCTTTTGCCTTAGATTTTAGAAAGGAACGCCCTTAATTTTAGAAAAATGTACCCTAAAATTTAAGATGCGATGCCTTTGACGACAAAAATAAGGTGAATTTCTTGTTTTTAGGGTTAATTTTGGTATGAGTGTACCATAAGAAAATTATTTAATGATGTTAAATGTCCTACCGTTCAGCAGCAAAAAATAATGCTAGTAAATAAAAATAAGTAATTTTTATTAAATCTTCAATAAAGCCTTTCAATAAACAAAATGAAAGGCAATGAACTACAGTCTTTATTGCAAAAAATTCACCACAATCAACCAAAATTAGTGAATGGAATTGTAAAAGCCACAAAGTCTCGAGAAATATGACAAAAATCACAGAGTTGAAATGGCCCCGCCTTCTTTGGGACACATATTTTTCGAAATGTTTGAAAGTGCTGCCAAAATGCAGTTTAATCACCTCCAGAGAGTCGGCCCACATGGCGAACCCAAAGCGCAGCCCACACCAAATATGCACATTAGAGAGCACGTAGAGAAAGAGTGGGTTACCGCAGGGGTAAGGGGGCGGTCCAGCGGGGACGGGGGATCACATCGATCAAGCAGCGGGCTGCAGATTTAATTACCAGACTTGGAGGTGCACTTAAAAAAATGTTAAGATCGCTTTATTTTTTATATCGCTGCCTTAAAATTATATTCTAATATTCTTTATTTTTTGAAGTTATTGATAACTGATAGCGTTTATAATTATCACAAAATATTAACTATTTTCGAAATCAATCTTTAAAGTTCCGTATTTATTTTATCTATCCTCTATTTTCAAAAATAATAAATCGTTGCCTACTTTAAGACAGCTTTTTATACAATTCTGACGATTAGCTGTCATTGAAAACATTCAATAAAATTAAAAGGGAATAATAGGAAATTATTAATTATATTATTTTAAAAATACATTTTCAACTAAAGAACTATATCATATAGACGCCAAAGAAACGATCGAAATTTAAATTAAATCTCAGCCGACACTTTACCTCGACTTGGCTAAACTTGCCACTACAAATTTAAAAGGAGGGTTCTAATTTTCTAAAAATATTGGCTTAAAGTCACATTATTTTGGAAATTTCTTTCCGTGCTGTGATTTTCACTCGCCTGGCAACAATCCGAAGCAAAGCGAAAATGAAAGCTCGAAAAGAGTCGCCAACGTAGACTTGCCCGCCCCACTTACCCCTCCTGCTGCCCACCTCCCATCCGCCTCCTCTTCCTCTCCCCATCCTCTCCGGATTTGGCAGTCGACGTCGCTGCCGGCGCCAACGCAGCGAGACGCGCTTGCCGCCAACGTTGAATGAAATTTCATTCACAAAAATTCACAAAAACGAAGCCAAAAAGGCAATGGACACCAGTCACGCATGCGCGGATCGGATTGTATTTTTATTGGGGAGCAGGGAGCTGGGGAGCTGGAGCTCTGGGGATCGGGGAGGTGGGCTCCACAAGCCCCCTCTTCGCAGAAATTACAGCGAAAAATATGCAGCATGTCTGGGCGTCTCGCAAACGTTGTTGCCCAACCGGAAGTATTAAATTCCAATTATGGCGACAAGATATTTCGCCGTCTCGAGATCGTTTGTCGCGCTGCCTTTATTGCTTATGAATTTATTCAAAATCAGAGGGATTGCGGGGGAGAGATCTCCGATCCTCACTAGCTGCCCACGACCTCCATCAAACGCCGGCGCAGTCGCTGGCGCACATCATCGAACTCGGGAAGGGGCACCAGGTTCAGCTCCTCCCCAGAATCCAGTCGGTGGTCGTACAGCTCCTCGCCATAAACATCGTTCCAGTCTAAAAAAATAAATTAGAATTTTATTAACAAGGATATTATGAATTAGTAAGCGTTCTGTTGGAAACCAGAAAATTACAAGAATTTAAGACATTCACGTTAACTCTTTTAGAAGTCCACTTAATTCTTAATTATTAACTAACCTAAATATTTACCTATTTTTTTTATTTATTAACCACTCACCTTTGCTAAAGTTTTGGGCGTGGAATCTAACCCACAAGGTATACCTATATATATCAGTTCTAAGGCTATATCCCATGATTTTGATATTCCGCAACTTGGGCTTATCGCTGTTCGGGTGTTTTGTAGGCAACATTCCTGGTCGAGGATACTGGCTGAGAGCCACATGCTCATCCGCTGAAAGGGATTAGGTTAAATATTTATAAAAATTACAATAATCAAATGAACTTACCCCTGCCCAAACCCAATAGCTGGTAGTACAGACTCTTGCCCTCGCCACAGGTCAACTCCTGGGAGTCCTGACAGGTGGGTAACTTAGGCAGTCCAACCAGATCCACCAAAGTGGGGAAGACATCGAGAAGTTCGGTGATCCCATGATGGTACTTCGTTTGGGTGAGCGGAAACTGCGGACTCCTTATGATCAGCGGAACCCTGAGGGCCACCTCGAAGTTGCTGTACTTGGCCCATTCGGCATGTTCACCCAACGACCAGCCATGATCCCCCAGCACCACCACCACCGTATCATCCAGATCCAATCCTCCGATCAACTTGCCAAACAGATCATCCACATAGGCCACCGAGGCGTAATATCCTTGTCGTATTTGGGCAGCCTGGTGTCGGGAAATCGGTCCATAGGGAAAGGATATATTGGAGTGCTTGAAGTCATCCCTGGCCCGTACATCCGTGTAGGGATTCCAGGCCACCGCTGGCATATCCGGTGGTTTCAGCCTGTCCTCCGTGTAATTGAAGAACTGGGAGAGGTGAAACCTTGAAAGAAACTGCCGCGGAAACCGAAAGTTTATGTGGGGCTTGTGGAATCCCATGGCGAGGAAGAACGGTTGCCGATTCTGACCCTTCCGGGATTCCACAAAGCGCAAAGCCTCCGCCACGGACTCAATGTCCGGAAGGGTCTTGTACGGCTGCGTTTGCAGCTCCACTGGACAAATGAGATTCTTCCGGAGAATGCCCTCCTTATCCGGGCACACAGGAGAATTCATGAACTGCTCGGTTCGGGGACGAAAAGCTGGAGCTGACCAACTCAGGGGATAGTCATCCGTGTTGTTCGAGGACAGGCCAGGATGGAACACCTTCCCGCAGCTGTAGGTGTAATAGCCGTGCTCCTTGAAGTACTGCGGCAGAGTCGTAAAGTTTCCGGTGAAGGTGCGCCAGTAGCTGTAGAAATCGTACAGATGCAGGGTATCCGGACGTCGACCAGTGAGCAGGGAATTCCGACTGGGAGCACACAGAGATTGCTGAAAACAGATAAGGTACATAATGATAATCTGTAATTTATTGGCTCTCTATCAACTTTACTATTTATTAAGAAAATTATGCCCTTTAATTGTAAAATAATCTGTAAGAATGTATATTTCACATTTTATAGTTAAGAACATAATTATAGTATCATTGTAAATAATTTCAAAATAAAAGAAACACGAATTAATCTATATTCTGTTAGTTAAATTTTAATGTTAAGATTCGTAAACTTATTGTTAGTCTCAAAATTAAAAGAAAATTCAATAAATAAAAGCAAAGTTAAATAAAAAAAAAAAAAAAAATTAATCTATATTTCTATCGTTTTCATAAAGTACAGGTTAAGCCATATCTGCTAATCTGGACTACAATACCCACCCCCAATCCTCACCTGGCTATAGGTCCTTGTGAACACATGACTTCCCCGGGCGAAGTCATCCAGATACGGGGTGCTGGCCAGCGGATCTCCATACGCACCCAACACTGGACGCAGATCGTCGAAGATCACCATTACCACATTGGGTCTACGTGGAGGAGCAACTGCCTCCAGCAGAACTGGAATCAGCACAGAGAACAGGAGACGAGCACTGGTCATGTCCACGGCAAAGGAAATTCACGACTGTTAACTCGAAGATGCCGACACGGCGGATGTGGATGCCGGCAAATTTGTTGTGATACCCTGTGCCCATGAAATCTGGAAAGGGGTATTTTAACAAATTGATTAAAGAAATGAAAAAGATGTTTTTAATTTTAATTGTAATTCCATAATAAAATGGTAATGAAATCATTAAAGGTCAAAGGAAGAAAATTGAATAGTCTTTATTTTTTTTGGTTATCAATTTTATAAAATTTTTTGTAGAATTTAAGTAGCACTTCCAAATATTTTTAATGTGTTTTAAATTTAAAATTTGAAAGTAAAATTCAATTGTTTGGAGCACCCATATCATACAAATTGTTTTTAAGATATATTCACGGTATCTTCGAGTCGTTGCATCCTCCATTTGTAGCACTCCACTTGTTTACAGTTTTACGCGGCAAAGTGCAAAGAACATTGAAAATACGGACGTGGGCGTAATTCAAAACCGCCCTCCATTATATTTCAATTGAATTTAACGGAAGCGCGACTCGAACGACGCTTACAATGTACTATATAAACATACAGTAAAAGATAACTTTTATGAGTGGACTTTTCTGCGAATCAAATCTAAGAGAGGAACATATTTTTAAAAATAAAACTTTATTAAACTTTCTTCCCAATTATTATTTTAGGTATTCATAGCTCAAATATATTCATAATTTTGATTTTACATTTAAAATTCTAGAATAAAAATCCAATTTAATTAGAAAAAATCTCGCCACGCTAACACTAATAATGTTTTTTATAAAATACAATATTTCCTGATTTAAAACTTATATAATTGCACACTCTTTTATGATGCCAAATCACGATTTTTGTTATTTAAGTCTATAAGATAACATTTTAGGGTCCACATTAAGCAAATTCTACTGTACATGACCGTTCTCTGTATATGAAATCGCCGGACAGTGACTGGAAATCGGGGGCACACCACAAACAGGCATGATTAATATATACACATAATATTTAATGATTTGTGATTTAACGATTAACAATAATAGCTTTGTGATATTAAAATAACAGTCCCCATAAAGGAATAGTCACAAGTGCCGACCCCGAAACTTGAAGGGGGATGTATTTTTAGGTGATTTTTGTAGGGAACCTTCTCTTCCAAAAATGAATTATTGGATAATTCTCTAGAGAAAGCCATATGGGATGTATTTTCGAGTCATTAAGTGAGTCCCCCCAAGAAGACTGTTTCGAAAACCAAGGGGGATGTATTTTCGATTGATTTGTTGGGGACTCTCCTCTAGAAGACCGTTCCGCAGTTGGAGCATCGCTTCTCCTTCATAGCCAAACAGCAGAGGATTCCCAGCGGAAAGAAGAAGATGGCGCAGCATAGGCCGCAGCATGAAAAGGTGTCCTCCAGATAGCCAATCCTGCAGGCAGGGCATCCCCCAATCACGATGATCTCAGTGGGCATGGCGGCCGGAACAGGCTGAATCACCACGCTCACCGGCGTCGTCTCGAAAGCGCCGTAAGTAGGCATGTGCATATTCGGGGGCGGCGCACTGGGTGCTCCATGATGGACGCCCACAATCAACCGGGAATCTGGAACGAATCGGGGCTTAATTGGATTTTAATAGAATGATAATTTCTTACCTTGCGAGGGGGTGGTGTTCATAACTTCCTCGTAGCTCGGCGGCAATTGTACGTCTTTATCTGCCATTGTATTGTTGACGGAAAGCTTTTTTTCTGTGACTCACTCCTGAGTTTTGGCGATAATCTAGGCTTTTTTTCTACTCTTAATTTAACTGCGTTAATTGTTTTTCTGTTTTTCCTTTGTTTTGTTGAAATGTAGGGAGTTATCGTTTCAACAGCTGAGGGCGATAAATACAATCGAATATATACCGCGAACTTATCGCTTAAAACATTCATTTGAATTTGGTTTAACAGCTATTAAACATTTTTACTTATAAAACTTAAAAAACGTTCAGTAAAGTTTTAACCAATCGTTTGCTGATTTTTTGTTTTTGAAGCTTAGTTAAAATCCCATTCATCATTTCTACTTTACAAATATCTATAAGCAAACTTATAGTAGCCATCTATTTGACTTTGCGTAAGCGAGGATTTCTGCTTGGCCAGGACCTTTTCAAAGTCCTGCAACTCTATTTCGGTGGCCTCAAAATCGCGTTGGAAAGCCTCAATAGCAGCCTCATTGCATAGATTACACAGGTCCGCTCCAGAAAAACGTTCAGTGCGCGAGGCAATGTGCTCGAGTTCCACATTACTATGGAAGGGCTTCCTCTGGGCGTGGAGTTTCAACAGCGCCAGTCGGGATTCAACATCTGGGGCTGGTAAATGGATAAGCTTGTCGAAGCGACCGGGTCGCATCAAGGCGTCATCAATCATTTCCGGACGATTGGTGGCCGCAACCACGAGTATGTGCTGCTGAGCGCCACCACCAACAATGCCATCCATTTCGGTGAGCAGCGTGGAGAGAATCCTTAGCTGAACTTGGCCACCACCTCCGCCACTCGAAACTGTCCTTCTGCCAACTAGGGAATCTGTTCAGTAAAGGAGTTTAATGCTTAAGTATTAATTTAGTTTTTCAATTTAATCCTACCAATCTCATCCAAGAATATTAGGCAGGGCGCATTCTTCCGCGCCGTGTCAAATATCCTCGAAACAAATCTTTCTGCGCAGCCCACGTAGGGCGAGTAAACTTCAGCCGCGGAGGTGGCTATGAAGGTCATGTTTGCCTCTTTGGCCAAGCACTTCGCAATGGTGGTCTTGGCACATCCCGGAGGTCCATAAAGCAACACTCCCTTGGGCAGACTCAATCCAAACCGGGCGAAGGCGGCACTCTGCCTCAGTCCTGCTAGAACGGAGACTTGTAAGGTGCGTTTCAGTGATTCCATTCCTCCGATAACCTCAAAACCATCCGTCATCTTGGACACACGTACATCTGAGCCTCGCGAAGCACTTGGTTGAGTTCGGAGCAGGACCTGGCGGAAGATTTGCTCAACATTGGAGTTATCTTTTGTCAGCAGTTCCTGCTGCACGCGGCGAAGGAGGAGCGTTAGATCTGCCATCACAAAGCCTTGCGTGTTCCTGGCCATGTGATCGAGTAGAGTGTCCGAGAGTTCCAGCTCGTGTAGTTTACAGAGATGCTCCACGACTTGTCTGCGTTGCTCCTCCCTGGGCATCTCGATGGTAATCTCCCGCACAAAGCGTCTACGCGCGTGCTCATGCAGGGAGTCCGGGGATCCCGAAGTGGCCACACAAATAATGCCCTGAGGCAATGCATCTATCAGTTTGTACAGCTGAGCGGAGATGCGCAGGGAATTACTGGAGTTTTTCGGGTCAGCAGAACTTGTTGAGGGGCAGAGCAGTTCCAGATCCTCGATGAGTATCACAATGGGCTCTGAAAGTGTAATAAAAGTAAAATAAAAATGTTTAACTATACATTAAGATGAAAATTACTTAAAGGACGCAGTTGCTCTTTGAAAATTTCAGCAGCCCGGAAAATCCTCCTCAGTTCCTCTTCTGTTTCTCCTGGGTACGAGCGTAGCACTTGGCTGGCTGTGATGTAGAAACAGTTACAGCCATGGCGACGCAGGAACTCTCCGAGGAGGCGACTCTTCCCGCTGCCCACAGGTCCCACAACCAACGCTGTAGTGCGAAACCTCTGCGAGAAACCGCTTTTAGAAGTTCTCAGCAGCTGCTCCAACTCATCCATAGGCTGCTCAAAGCTGTAGGGCAGGTACTTCGAGGTGGAAGTCAAAGTATATGGCATGCCCAGTCGAGTGTCTACAAGAAGCAGTTCAGTATCTCGAGCTACTTCAAAACATTCATCATCCGCAACTCCTGGAGCATCTAAGATCTCCACACTAGCGATGCCCAACTGCTCAAGACGTCTATGCTGCACAGAGCACCCTTTAGTTAGCTTCACATGGCGCAGAAACACACGCACATCGTCCTCTAGATCCTCCAGAGAAACCTCAGGCCGCTGAAGCAGTTCCTGGGTGACTGTAACTATGCAGGGAATCTTGTGTAGGCAGGGTACTAGTTTTAGTGGCTCCAGCAGCACCAACCGCTGATTGGTGGCTGAGAATCCCGACGAGGAGGTTACCATTCCATCCAAGAAGCAACAAGTTTCACTGCCGGCACGTGGAGTAACCCAACAAATCGCGAAGCTGCCATCGGAAAGTCTGCAGCGGCACAATCCTGTTCCTGGAGGCTCCTCGCCCGCTGGTACATAGCATCTTTGCGGCTCCAGATCGCTGTCATCCAGCAGGGAAAGCGGAAATGCCGGAAAATCCAACTGCTTTTCGTACATTTTGTTTACCTGTCTTCGATAACTTAATCGATTATAACGTTCACCTCTCTTGGCTTTTTCCTATCTAAATCTGTTTTTTTTCTAAATATTTCTAGCTATATTCTTCACAGCAGTTCAGCTGCATCCGTCTATCGATAGTTGCGATAGTTGCCGCGATAGTCGCCGCTTTTCACACATATAGTCGTACTCTTCTGACGCCATCGCCAATTTATCGCCGCTGTGACGAAGAATAGTGTGTAAAACCTTGTAAAATTGGTGTGATTTCGCATTCTAAAGCCTGTTTATTGCGGTGAAAAGTGGATAATAAGTGGCGCTACACCGGTGACCACGCAATTCATGCCGAGAGCAGCCAGTGAGTGTTGATTTAGCAGGATTTTACCGACCATTTCTCACCTAGCCGATCGATCGGCGTTTTTTCTCTATATTTTTCTTGGCTTGTGTGTGTGCGTGGGTGCTCCCGTAAATTCTGGCATTTCCGTGGATTCCCTTGGAACAGGTAAACAAACGCTGCCGATGCGCGAGATGGCGGACTTGGATGCAGTGCACCTGGGCCTGGACGAGAACGAAGCGGACATCGCCGAGGAACTCCAGGATTTTGAATTCAACACAAGGAGTGAGGCTTCTGAGTCCAATTTAGGGGATTCCTCGGACTCGGAACCCAGTATCAGTTCGGTCAGCACCGCCACATCCTCATTAGTGGGCAGTAGCAAGCGAAAGACCAAGAAGCAGTCGAAGGAGAGTCCTCCACCTACGGTGGAGGCCAAATCTTCCAAGTCCTCATCCAAAAACAAAGGCAAACGGGAGCCCACTCCGGAGGAGCTAAATGGTGGGAAGAAAAAGAAGCGCACGGGCAGTGAATCCAAAAAGGCCTCTGTCTCCGAGTCCTCCGATAAAGCAAAGGCCAAGTCCCCGCCAGCCGAGGAACGCCAGCCGCCTGCAAAGAAGTCGCGCAGCAAGAAGCCCTCCAGTACCACCGATTGCGGTGGCCACAAGAGCGATGTGAGTGAGGCGGAGGACGAAAAACCAGCTCTTCCAGCTCTGGAGTCAGATAGCGAGTCCTCCGACTCGGACTCGGGAACCCAGCATAAAAGAAACGGAGGCAATGGAGGCGGCAATGGCCGCGGAAAGCCCAGTTCCAAGAGCTCCACGCCGGAGAAGGATTCAGGCGGCGGTGGGTTGCAGTCCCATTCGCAGAAGGGCTACGACTACATGACGAAGCTGAACTATCTGTTCCGGGACACGCGATTCTTTCTCATAAAGTCCAACAACAGCGACAACGTCCAGCTATCCAAGAGCAAGAACGTGTGGGCCACCCTGCCGCAGAACGACGCCAATCTTAACCAGGCCTTCAAAGAGGCCAGAAACGTGCTGCTCATCTTCTCGGTCAATGAGAGTGGTACGTTACAAATATTGTTTTCTTATATTTTTAACCAGCTTAATTTGGTGAGGAAAGTCTGATAATTTCGTGCACAATATTGTTTATCTTAATCTTTATATAAATTCTGAAGGTTTTTGGACTTTCCACCTTTCTAAAATACATTTACCTTATTCCTTGTTAAACTTTAATTTGTATACTTATCTTCTTATTTTATTGAAGTAATGATTTTGATAAGTTACTAAAAATAGTGTCATAGATATCCAAAATTTAACTCCAACTCCAATTATCATTGCATTATTGTTCTGCTTACAGGTAAATTTGCAGGTTTTGCCCGGATGTCGGGCCCGTCCCGACGGGACATTCCTCAGGTGGCCTGGGTCCTCCCGCCGAGCATTTCGCCCAAGGCGCTGGGCGGCGTCATCGAACTGGACTGGATCTGTCGCAAGGAGCTGTCCTTCAACGCCACCCTGCATCTGCACAACACCTGGAACGAGGGCAAGCCGGTGAAGATCGGTCGCGACGGCCAGGAGATCGAGCCCAAGATCGGCGGTGAGCTGTGCCGCCTCTTTCCCGAGGATGAGCAGATCGAACTCACTCCAATACTCAAGAAATCCAAGGAGACGGCCCGGGTGATGCGGGAGAAGGGCATTCACGTGATCTACAAGCCGCCCCGGAGTCTCTCGTCGCGTGGCCACGGAGGAGGAGGTGGTCGCGGCGGAGGCAGGGGAGCCGGTCACGACCAGCTGGGTCCGATGCGTCACAAGCGCAGCTACCACGGACCACCGCACCATCGCCCGTACCGTCACCATCATGGCATGGGCCTCCCGCCGGGCGGAGGCTTCAAGCGAAGCGGATCTCCCTATCGTCAGATGGGCAGCGGTGCAGGAGCACCTCCCGGCGGACCTGGCGACATGAACATGCCGGCGTGGGAGCGCTACATGTCCTCGGCTGCAGCTGCTGAAGCTTATGTGGCGGACTACATGCGCAACATGCACGGCCAACTGCCGCCGTTGCCCTTCGTTCCTCCATTTGCCCAGCTGCCGATGGCAGGAGCTGGAGCGGGGCAGCAGGTGCCCTGGCACCGGGCGCAGCGGCCGCCATGTACGAGCAGCTGCCGCCACCGGTGCGGTACTACGATGGACCGGGTGCACCCCCCTGCCGGATTATCCGCCTCCCCAGCGGCCACCACCACCGGGCTTCGATAAGGCGCCGAGCTACGAGGAGTTTGCCGCCTGGAAAAACGCCGGCCTGCCCACAGTGCCACCGCCGGGCTTCCCCGTCTACGGCGGAGCACCCAATGGCGGTAGCAATGGAGCAGGAGGCGCAGCCGGAGCCCAGGCGGCGGCTGCTGGCGGGGGGATGGGAGGCGGAGGAGGTGGAGGATCCGGTGGCGGCATGGGTGGACCCGGCGGCTATCGGAATCGGGACGGCAACAACGGCTCCGCGGGCGGTCGTCGACGGGAGTACGGAAATCGCAGCGGCGGCGGCGGATCTTCGCGGGATTCGCGACCGTATCGCGAGCGTGGCGGCGGCGGCGGCCAGCGAAGCTATCGGGACAACAGGCGCTAGGCTATATCGAGGTCGTGCTCCTGGCCTCGCTAGAATCGGAAAGTGTAATCCTAATCCTCTCGCGTGTGAAAATGCAATGAGAAATATTGAATGCGTTACGGTATAAGCGAAAAGTTAATATGATAAAACCGCTGCAAAACCCTAGACCTTTTAAAGCCGGCTATCGTCTAAAGTCGATACAACTCTCTGTCCCCCTCTTTCTCTGTCCCGCTCACCAAAACACCCCCACCACCCACACTATGATTAAAACAAACTTACGACTTAAGCAAATTTCAAAACAGCAGAGATCTTAATGCTAATTAAATATTTTAAACTACAAAAAAAAAAATACAAAATGAAAGAGAGATTATGTGAACTTTATTTACCCAAAACCAAAAATATATAAAGAGCGAGAGAAAGAGACTTTAAAGAGACGCCCAACAACAACAACCACAACCAACAACAACACCATGAACGAACTTAAGTTAACATGAGATCAGTGATCAATCAGTGATGTGTGTATCGTGTGTGCCAAACCCCAAACACAAAACCCCATTCTCCAACACCCCCGAACCCATTAAAGTTCCAAAAACGAGAGTTGGACGCAGCAAAAGCCACCTAAATCAAATGTGGGGATGCGTCCCCCAGAAAGACTTTCAAAGACCTAAACGGAGCCCAGCTCTAAATGGGGATTAAGAGTAATAATCACTGCTACCTACCTTCAAAGACGAGGGTCCAGTCGTTTCGATCCGATCCAAGCTTCCTTATACGTAGTATAAAACTAATGCAATCATATTTAACACTTACATGTCTTGCCGACAGAAGACCATATTTATCCCAGAAACAGACACACATCCGCCCACATTTTGGCCCGGAGTTCGCTCTCCGGGTTCCTTTGGCCCTGTAGAAATTCGAACCGTAGCAATCCGAACTGTTTGACCCTCGAGTTGGTCACCGAATCCCCCCATCGATTCCACTCAATGACTGCCACATTTTCACGCTTTACCGGAGCATTGACTGCGACAAACACTCAAACACACTTTTCCGGACAGACATAGGGAGTTTGCTCTGTTTCTTTGCAGGATCTGCTGGACTCTTTGGACCATGGATACAGCTGGGAATTACATTACAAAATTGATTTGGAGAGAGACATTAATGGAGAAAGATGCAAAATAAAGACTGAAGCTGATTTAAAATATATTCTAACTTTGTACTTTATTGGGATGTCATCTTTATTTTTTTTAATAGGGTTTAAGGCAATTTAGCAGCCGTCTAACAATAAAAATGATTGCTTTTTTGTTTCTAAGTATCCCTACATTTTTACTTAGGTCTTAAAGATTTATAGTTAATGGGACAGCTAAAACTTATTTATTGAAAGAACACAATATAGAAACTTTAAACAAAGTGCCCATTACAATATTTTTTTTTTTAACTTCAATATTTAGAAATACTTAAATAACAACTTAAAATGATTTACTCTGCTAATGACGGCACACTTTAAATTTCCGGTAGGTAATGGATTTTCTCTAATTACCAAAGAGGCACTTATATTCATACACTTCGGTTCTAAATAACTTAATTTTATCTGACTTACCAGGATATCATATATTGTAGTAATTTTGTAATGAGTGTGAAGTAAATGTATTTTCACTCGAAGCCATTTATCTGGGCGTTAAGTTTACAGTTATTACAATTGCTTAATAGGTCCTAAATTGTTTATTTTTCGAACGTTGCAATATTGTTTTGGTTAAAGTAATTTGAATAGATAGACAACTTTTTAACACAGGCAGTCCTATATGTGGGGATTACAGTTTACTGTTTACTATTTTAACCAAAAGTTTCGTAATAGAATTAGATTAGTTACTCTACTATCTTTCAAGACAAGACAGTAATAATACAAGAACTGGTGCATTAATGTACATTATGTTTTTTTATTGAATATTCATAGTTGCAGCGTATAATATTGTATTGCTGAACGTATTTCAAATATATTTTTAAGGACTGGTGACTTAGCATCCTTCGCACCAGCACTTCAGGCTGGGACTGCAGTGTCCACTGACGCGTCCCTCCTCCTTGCACACACGACGGCAGGTCTCATTGTCCCAGACGGCACAAGGACCCTTGTACCTTCCGGATAGACAGTCGGCATCGACTTGGTTGGATCCCAGGACCACCAGCATCAGGACAGCGCAGAGGGCGAACAAGTATTTGATTTGCATCATTTTGTGGAAGTTCTCAGGGAGCCTGGTTAATGATTTTTGGTTGAAGTATCAGCGACTTATGGTTTGAAAAACTCGCGGAGGAGCTTATATAGTGCCCCGATCTCTCAGTCGAGCAACTAAGCTCTCAGTCGACGCGATGTCGGGTATAAGCAAAATAGAACAACACGTTGAGATAAATGTGTTCCGAATATTAAAAGCGTACTTTAGGGGGAATACCTTCTCGGTTCTTATACTATAAAATGTTTATATGATACATTCTACATATATCACTGTTATTTAAAATTTAAATATTGGTTTAAGCCCAGCTTTTCTTTCACTGCACACTATACATTTATACTAAATTAAACTGGACTTTTCCAGAACAAAAATAGTTCAGTTGGGTTAAACCCAGAAAATATAAAGGAGGACGAAAACATAATAATAAAACATGATTTATTGAATAAATCTTGAAAAGTCCCCTAAAGCCACAGCGAACAACAAAGCTATGTTTAGGAACCCACATTAAAATTACTTATTTATTTTCGCACCAGCCAAATTTACTCACAATTATGGGGCGGGATGTACCGATACTGGAATAAATTTAGAAAGAGATAAGTTTATTAAGATGACTTACATTCCCGATGAGCCATACTTATGTGTTGAGTAAATAAATGCACACTCATTATTTCAGAAACGGATTTTAGTTTAAAACTTTTTACAATCGTTTCCAATTATCATAATTAGGCAGTCAGTCACATAAATAGTTAGCTAGTTTAAAATTAGACTTGACTAAAATTTAGTAGTTGCCTTGAACAAATGTGGTTGTCAAGAAAAGGGCATATATAATTGCAGTGAAAAGCCCAAGTCAAAACAAAAGAAACAAGTAAGAGATAAGGACTTAAAACAGAAAACGTAGCTTCAGTCAACCAATGGGGAAATTCCCACGTAAACACATAATAGATTAGAGACCCTTACTTATGGCAATCGCTTTATTGTCATTTTGTAAAAAATTTACCAACAAAAAATTTGTACATTATTTATAATACTACTAAAAATAATAATGTTCCGGTTTTAAATGTCAATCGATTGATCAACGAGGTATGACCTGTGAAACTGTTTGCTCCATTTTTATTGTTATGGTTAAACTATGGAAGTAATTTGAACAACAATTGTATTTTTTAAGTGTTTTTCGTTCCTACTTCGATGAAAAGTCGATGAAATGACTATCTTTTTGCAAAAATTTAAAAGAATAATCAACCTGATAACCTTGCAGTAACGACAAATATTCCCGGACATGGTAAATAATCAGTTTTGGCTAGGTCAAAGCATCTATTATTGACTCTGGTCAAGAAAATATAAACATCTGTCCCGGCCTTATCATCTACTTTTGTTTATTTACTTTTAGGAACGTAAAAAATGTTAAATTAAATAAAAACATGGGCTTCTTTTCACAATATGTATAGTATTTATTGTTTAAGGTTTTTGTTTTACGAAAATTATATTTAATCATACAACGAACAAACTTACAGATATATTTTATAATGCAATTAAAACATTGACTTTATATATATATAATATTTCTTTTATACTTTCATTTATCGCTTTAACTTTAAGTAGACACGTTTAATTTTTTCAACTTTTTCGTTTCTTGTTTCGTTTAGTGGTTGGTTTGTTTTTCATTTTAAATTTGTTTGCCCTTGGCGGATACAAATTAAATAATTATGGTGTGTATAAAAAATACAAAAACAATTCGGCCAGGTGGCTACTCCTCCCCATTGTCCAGAAGTTGAATATGTTTTCACTGTGGCGGGACTTGACTCGACCGGCGCTTGTCCTTGTCCTTCTCCTTCTCCTTGTCGCCCTTGCGTCCAAAGATGCGGAACATGCCGCTGCGGCGCTCCTCCTTGGTTCCCTTGCTGCCCTTCACCCCGGACACGGAGGATATGGACTGGGCCTCACTTTCGCTGGAACTCTCCGCCGAAACGCGCGAGAAGCTGATGGAGTCGGGCTGCAGGGACACAGGTCGGTTGCTCTCAAAGCGGGTGTTTCCCCAACCTGATGGGTATAAAAAGGCGGTGTAAGTGGGGAATAATCTCCAAAGTATAAAAAAGGCACCATGCATATGTGTGTAGTGTTTGGAGTGGAGCATAACAGAGAGTGAGGTTCAGAGGGTGGACAGGCAATAGGATTCCATTCATAGCTTAAATATGGGTATATTACATAAATATGAAATATGTGAAATAAAAGAGCACTTAAATGTATAGTTCTTTGAAAACTTAAACTGATTACTAATACAACAAAACCCTACTTGAAAGCTTTTATATAAATTAGTCTGGAAAATTAAAGCATTTTGTTATAGATATATCAATCTATACAAGGGATAGATAGTTAACATATAGAATAGAATAGAACCAATAAAAATACTTTGCAAACTCGTGCGCAGATAGGATCGGCGGGTTAGCTTCACCGGTTTGAAAGTTGAGGAGCCTTTTCACAAACAGGCATGCATTCAGAATAATCAGAAAGAAATATATATGTATATACAAAGAGTTCAGATCAGCCAAAACCGAAAAACATGCCGTGGCATGCACTTAAGACTAGGAGCCAAGTATTACACAGATTGTTATTAGGATTAATGAGGTTCGTCTAACCACCGAGTCCAATTCCGATTGAATCGTTATTGTTATTCAAATGCAGACCCATATAGCTTGGATTACTGATGGCATGACTGGGCTCCCCGGAGCCCCCGGTTGATGATGATTTGGTCGATGAGGTGGGCGATGAGGTTAGGTGCCACACCGTGCGACTGCTGGTGGTCACTTGGTGGTGGCTGGTGGTTGAGGTGGTGATCGTGGTCGAGGACGACTGCGAATTCCCGCTGCCTAGCTTCACATTACCGTTGCCATTGCTGCTGGCCCCGCTGCTGGAGTAGTTGACGGTGCTTCTCTTGGGACTGCTACTGCTGGTGCTGGTGCCCCCATTATTGTTGTGCGCCTCCATCTCGATGAACTTCCTCGTGGAGTCGATCCTTCCCGAGGGAATCCTCTGTTGCTGCTGCCTCGCCGCATTGTTATTATAATAATCCGGCTGATTTTGCTGGCTCGCCGCCGCATTAAAGGCATTTATCCTCTGCTGAACCTGCGCCTGGTGCTGATTCTGATTCTGATGGGAATGGGAATGCTGGGGATGCTGATGCTGGCCACCCACCGGTGGCATCGTCGTTGGCAATGGCGGCGGATTATCTAATACACACGGCATTGCGTTGTTGAAGGACAATTTTTACAATGTAAGTGGGTTGATGTTGGTTGGGGAGGTTGAGGTGTATGGACAGAGACACAGATGGCTGGGGGACTGGGATTACCACCCATTTAGGAAGACTTACCCGATTGTCTGGCCTCGCTGTTGCGTGTCAGCACCGCGCTGTCATCCTTGCTGCTCCCATTCTGCTGGACTCCCATCAAACCGGCGGGCAAAGTGGCGGATTGTTGTAGGTCTAATGGAGATTATAGGGTTTTATTTCAATAGTAATTTAAGTTATTTTAAGTTGACTTACCAGTACTGGAACTTTGGCGATTGCGCATCACTACTAGATTCTCCTGGCTCTGGCGATGGCTGGCCACTGGCGGCGCTCCTCTGGGCGGGATTGGTGGCTTCTGATCGAATCCGGCGGTGGGTGAGCTGGGGGAACTGGGCTGGGATTGCTGCTGCTGTTGTTGCATCTGTCGCTGCAGGAAGGCCATTTGGGGAGTGGCTGTGCCATCCAGGACCTGACCTCCACTGGTGCGACGCTGGGAGTCGGGTGAGGAGTTGCGCGAGCTTACTGGCGACTCCACGCTGCTGGTCACCTTGATGTCCGGGGAACTGCTCGACTGTTGCTGTTGGGATATAGTAAATAGGATTTTAATTTTCATCTTTTAAAGGGATATCCAAGATATATTACCTTCATGGACTCGTCGTAGCTCAGAAGCTGCATGTTGGGCGGCAGACTGGCGTGGAACGATATCTTGCGCACCCAGTCGTTCAGGATGTCTAGTGAGGGAGCTTCGAACAGGAATTCCGATCCGTCGGGCAGTCTAAGCCGGAAGACGTACTTCTTCTTGGTGTAGTCCTCAGCCCGCTCGCACTTGGCACCCAGGATGTTCACCGGAGCAGTGGCGGTCTTCTGTTGCAGGAAGTCGTTCTCGTCCTTGAAGAAGCACACCAGCTGTCCACAGAGAACAGTGTGGAACTGCTTCCAGGATCGCACGGGAGCCTTCTTTCCGCCGGATTGCAAGCCATGCTTGCGCTCCAGACTTCCCTGGATCTCAACGGGCGGCAGGTCGAATCCCTCGCCCTTCTGGTTCTTCCTGAACGACTGAGCCCGCCTCCTGGTGGTGAATGATGGCGTACGCTTGGCCTGCTTGGGCTGCACCTTCATGCTCTCCGCCCGCTTCACATTCGCATCGGCGGATCCACGTCGCAGCCGGTCGCCAAACATTCCACTGGAGCTGCTCTTCTGCAGGGCCAGGTGCTCGTTTTCGTCTCCAAACGGTGGCCTCAACTGGGCCTGACCCAAGGCAGGGGATTGCGGACCACTGGTCTGTGCGGGAGTCACCATGGGCGAGGAGAAGATCGGGGTCTTCTCCTGCGACGCCGCGTTCTGGCGATGCTCGTGCTGCTTCTCCGCTCGCCTCCGCTCATCCGCCAAGCGCTGCAGTTCCCGCTGCTTCAGTTGCTCCAGTCGCTCCTTCTCCAGACGCTCCTTCTCCTGCAGCTTGCTGATCTTCTCCTGCTCAAGCTGGTGACGGAAGAGCTGCTCCAGCAGCGTTATCCTCTTGATGGCCTGGAACTTCTCCTCCTGGGCGGCCACTGTCTTCTCAAAGTCCTCGTGCCGCCGCAGAAGATCCTCAACTTGGGGAATGGAGTCTCCCAGCTTGGCATCCTTGAGCTGGGGCTCGCGACTGCTGATCCATTGTTCCAGGATCTCGGCGTCCTTCAGGAATAGTTGCGTGTCCAGGTTGAGTTCGTAGATCTCGCGACGCTTGCGGAGCGTATGCTTCAGGAGTTCGTGGCGCGCTTGCAGAACCTTGATCTTGTCCTCCACTTCG